GCTTAAACGGATGCCAGTCTACCGTCAGCAAGTCAACATTCGGATTAAACATTCTCTGTTGGAATCTTCCATTCAACGAACACCACACGTCGATGTAGATGCTCAAGTTTGACGACAGCCGTGGCCATTTCGGCTTGCCGTCGCGTCGAAAGTCGCTCTCGAAAAGCTCAGTCTTCTGTTTAATTAAATTATCCTGCAAACGTTGTGTCGTTCTATAAATTATACGTAAAATTTCTTATCTACTGGCGTGTGGCGTTTTCCGTTTCTTACTCAGATTACTAAGATTCATATTATCAATATTCAATGGCACAAGCGTATCGATAAAGATAACGCTTACTTTTAAACAGGAGGCATACTGCACGGCCATGTCGCCGTGTTTCTCCCATCGATTGGTTTGCACCCACGCTGCAGGATCCAGGTAACGATCCTTGTTGCTCACGTTGTCGTGAACTCTAATTACAACGAGCACAGTGTCCCAAACGTGGACCATCATGTCCCAAGAGTATCCGTACATTCCTGGCACCCAGTTATTGTAACCCTGTCAACAATAAATAACAATTACCGATCGTCAAAAGAGGTTTGCTTACGAACGGTTCGTGCAATGAGGAACTTATTAACATTAGTGTACCTGCGTGATAAAATGAGAGTACGGTAAGAAAAACTGCAAGAATACATGGAATAGTAATAGAGAAACTACGAACTTTTGCTTCTTCGTCACTCTAGTCGATTTGCCAACGACTGCCTTCACAGATTTACAAGTAATTGTAGAGTTTATCGAGTCTGTACCTTCTTCACGTCCGTCATCGATCGACGACCCGTTGCCAGTTCGATTATTTATCTCGTCGTGTGACTCTTTTGCTCGTTCTATCGCGATTTTCTTACAGTTTCTTATTTCCTGGCGATTTCTCTTACACAACGAACGGGCATAAGTACGTTTGACGAATGTCGCGAGCGTTCGAGGCCAATTCGGCTTGCAAAACAGCGGCATCGTTGCAAGACACACGTACGGAAACATTCCTGAGGATAATTTCACTGAAATTAACGATGTGCAGAGACTTTCGATTGGTAAAGTAGAAAACTCCTTCGTTTGTTATTTAAACGAAATTTTAAACGACATGGTTTATCAAGTTGCCTGATAGAGATATTAGGGTAATATATATTATTAATATGATTATAAAATTTCTCAGTCAGTCACTGTTCACAGAGCGGAATATTCCTCTTGCCAATTTGTGTCTGAATGAAAAATGGAACAATAGAGTATTTTTATCCACATCGAAATATTCAGCTCTCGAATCGAAGTTAGTGCAGTACATTGGCACTCGATAATACATAGTCGATTTTACTTTGTTTTATCACTTATCTGAACGTGAATTCTTATTACGCGAAGGAAAAATTATAGATAATGAGAAGAGTGAGCGAGTATTCCTATTATATTATAGTTATATAAATTATTTATCTCTCCCGACAAATTCATCGAAGGAGTTCCACTGTCTTCGTCTCGACGAAATTGTCATAAAGACGGATTTACTTACCGATGTTGAACAATCTGGAATTCATTAAGTGGAAAGCTGTACAAAAGACCATCGCAGGGATACGAGTTTTATCGAACAGCATCCAAAATCCAACCGTGAGGTCAAAGATAAATGCAAACCAGTGAACTATGAAAAAATCAGTCTGTTTCATGGTCAAAAATAATCTGAAATGATGAAATATTACTTTATCAACTGTCAAAATTCAATCGACTTTTGATAACAGCGTAATTGGATAGCTTCTTTTTTTTTT